AAAGGGAGAAACTTAAAAAAAGAAATAAAAAGACGGAAGACAAGCGTTTTCTTGAATGGAATTGATCTTAAACTTTGTACAATAAACCACATTGAAGTTGGTGAGTAGAAAATAAATGTTTCTAACTGTTACTGAGCTAAAACCTTCAGCCGACAGTTCATTGAAGAAACAATTCGGCCAATATAGGAGGATAAGATATTGCAAATGAAGTTCCTTGGGATTAGGAATAACAGATATAACCCAGAGCAAAGTAACATCAAAGACAAAGTTTCAAAGTTGCTCAAGTAAAAAAAAAAAAAAATTGTATTCAACCAGGTAAACTTGACATGTTATCCTTGATTAAAAACAAGAATGTTAATTATCGTGAAAACACTCCTTTTTTTTTTTTTTTATACAAATGAAGTACCATTCTAATTCATCCAAAGAAGAAAATCTCCTTCTACTAAGAGAGTTAATCATATTATGCTTGCCCGATGGGGTATGAGGAGCAGAAAAATCAAATGCATGTTGTGGACATAGCCCCAATATGGAGGTCACCACTTTTAGTTGTGAACAAGAAGATTCTACCATATGTGGAAGTAGAGACTGTCCAGAAGCTAAAAGAAGTATGGTTTGCAGGATTGGATATCATGGAATGAGAAAACAAAAACGAGAAGTAGTGCAACATGGAGATTGCCTTGGTAGAGAATTTATACAAAGACATTTTGGATGCTATGGAAGAACAAATGTAGTAAATTGCCTTTGACATGGAAAGCTATTAAAGAAAGAGAAATATAGATTCCGTTTGATTATCAAAATGAAATGGATTGAAAAAATAAAGGTAAAAATAAAATAATTAAAAGAGACGATGAACTATATTCATAAGAAAGAGGAATAATTTAATTTATGAAGTTAAGATTTATAATTCTTGAAATTTTTAAAAGGTGTGATGATTCTCATGAGACCATAAAAGGAAAGCGTGCTTTAGTTCATTTTTGTATTAATTTTTTTAATTTATTTTAATTTATTTTTTTTAGTAACTAAATGAGATTAAAGTAGTCCTTGTTATACAAAATATAAATGAAAATGTCAGACTTGATGGGTTCAAAGATAAACTAAGGCTAGATAAAGCCATGGAAAAGTGGAGATGGAGACTACCTGATCTAGGTTTGGTCAAGTTAGATGTCCAGGTTGCAATCAATCAAGACAAGAAAGCTCCTTGTCATGGAATTATACATGATGAATACGATAACTGGAGAGATCGGTTTGTGATGAAGTTGGGATATTATTAATAGACCGTTGCAAAAAAACTACAGGACAGCTTGCATGTGTTAAAGTTTTTGCAGGTTGGGTTGGGTTCCAACCCGCACATCGGTGGGTCAGGAAGCTCGCAGGTCAATCTGTAAAATGTAATTTTATTTTTTAAATAATTTAAAATTTATAATTGACATATCATATATATACACATAAATTAAATCACCCCTCTAAATATTATTAGACAAATCCCACATAATAAACTTTATTTTTTTCAACACCTATCTAAATTTAAGTGGTCTATTGTGCATTCTTAAAAGGCTAGGATACTTCAAAAAACTTTAGAATCCAAACTTTTTTTTTTTTACTTGGATGTCTCATTAAAAGTAAGTTTGAATAATAAAAATAGATATAAAATTGATAAAAGAAAAAGAATTAGAATTAAAAATATTTTTGGTATCACAAAAAATTTAAATGTAATTTTGATATTATTTATATTTACTTTTTATGGATTAAGAATTAAATAGAAAAATGAAGCCACAATATTAAAAAAAATTGCTAAAATTTTACTATTAATCATCTTCTTGTCTAGGTGTGTTATCTTTCTCATTAAAAAAGAAAATTTAAATATAAACCCATATTATTTTTTCAATGAATTAATATTTATAATTTTAATCAATAGATCTTATGAGATTAATAAATAATATATATTTAAAATATTTCTATAAAAACTAATAAATCGTTGATTTATAAACTACAACAAAAATTTCATTTACAAATTTTAATAACGATTTACATTATCTTTTAAATATAAAGAACATATTTGGGAGTAATAAATTATAGATTTAAGAAATATTATTATTATTATAGATTTATAAAAAGATATATTACAATTTAAAAATAATTTATTTTTTTAAAAAAATAGGCTAGCTCACGAGGCAATCCATTTAGCCCGCAGGTTAACCCATTTTAACTTGTCAATTTTATGGGCTGAGCTAGTCAAATCAATTTTAAAAAATGAGCTAATTTTTTTAACACAACTTGTCAAAATTGATGGGTTAAACGGGTTATTTCGCAAGTTTAACTCATTTTTCTAACTCCAAATATTATACCCTCACACTAAAATTGAGATGATGAGCATAAGAGAAGGTTTAAAGTTGATTTGAAACCTTGACTTAAAAAAGGTTACTATTTTGGAATTCAACAGAAGACATCGAGAACATTCAAAAAATAAAAATTCAAGATAGGTTTCATCATGCTTTTAGAGTCTTAGAAGATATTAGGAGGATACTTATGTAATATTGGGAGGTATTGTACAATCATGTGTTTAGGGAAAAAAAATTACTCTATTGACTGGCTTACAAAAAAATGTACACAATTCAAGCCAATAATCAAACGTGATTATACAACCACATGTAAAGTTAGGGGTGTTTGCGACTCAATTTAGTTCAATTTTGAGCAAAACTCAAACCAAACTAAATCAATCAGTACTTATGACTAAGACCTGATCAAATTTTGGAAAAATTAGTTTGATTTGGTTTTATTTTCAGTTTGATTCAGGTCTGGATTAAGCTTTAATGTACTTATTTAATTTCTTCTTCTGTTTTATAACTTACACTTAGCATTAGTATGTCATTGTTTTTTTTTTTAATGTAGAGTGCATTTATATAGTTACTTGTTAGTTCATATGATTTTTTTTTTGTTTTCCTCTAAATATTTTTAATAGCATGAAAATACAAACAACAATGTGATCATATATATGTGCCTTCAAATCATTAATTATTAAAAACTGATAAAATTGTAAGAATCTTTTGAATTATATAATTTTAATTCATTGGCACTTGATCAAAGTTTTTTTATTATGAATTTATGATAACATTTGAGTGTACTTTTTGCAAAAAAAATATAAAACAAAGTTAGTTACTCTAATTTGCAGAAAAATACTAATAAAAATAACCTTTTATTGTCAAATATATATATATATATATATAATATCATTTTTCCTAATTGTAGAGAATAGTTAATTAATTATAGACAAGTATTCTTAAAAAATACCATAAAAATTATAGATAATATTTAAATAATTATAATATATTTTTAATTATCAATTTATAGATAATTAAATTTAGAAAAGAGGAAAAAAGCTAGACAAATTTACAAAAATATAAAAAGTAAGTATTATAAAGCTTGGTTCAGTTTGGTTTAAATTTTAAGAAACAAAAATTTAAATCAAGCTAAACTAATCGATTTTAATAAAAAAAATCAAAGCAAATTTTATTTATAATTAATTTTGATTAATTCATGTTAATTTGATTTGATTTGATTTACTATCATTAATTTAAATTGATTTTGAACACCCTATTATTATCATGGGCTGCGATCATGGTCACGGACCTGCAGGTTGATTTATTGCATTTTTCTTTTTCAATATTTATGCTTTTGCCTACATTCGTAATTAAAAAAAAACATTTTTTGACATGCATGTGTGGTTCGAAAGTAATTAGGAAAAACTACAATCAAACCATCCAACTTAAATATAACTGAGATTTATTAAACAATTTTTACCAAAAATAGATTCATTAAACGATTGTTATCTGAAAAATCAACTTCATAATACTTAATATTATTAGCGAAATAATAATAAATAAATATGAAAAATAATAAACAATATATTTTTTAAGTAAAATTATATTGGATCAAACTAAAAAGAAGATTAGAAGTAGAAATAAAACAAGAACATTTTCCAAATTTTTTTTTTTTTGAAAAAAGGGAGAACCAAATTAGGGGTTGATGAATATCTTCAGATTGTTTATTTGGGTTGAGCTTAATTTGAGTCATGTTTATTTGAATTAAATTTAAAATACTTGAACATATAAAAAATTTCTTACAATCAAATCTGGCCCTAATATTGTGAGTTTTGGAGTTTATTCAAGTAGGCTCAAATAGTTAAATTTTTAAATAGTATTTTAATTTATTTTTTATGAGCCAGTTTCAATTTGTACCTTAACAAGTTAAGATTTTTCAAACAACTTAGTAACACAAACCACTTTTTTTTTTTAATCCTTATTAAATATCAAGTATTGAAAAAATAAAAATGAAAACATTAAAAGTAACCTCTGGTCTTTATTTGTTTATATTTGTTCAAAACATTGAAAACAAATAATTATTATTAGAACATTACAATTTTATTTGGAAGTGCAAGATGTGAGAATTGATAGTTTGGAAAATAGTTTGTGAGTGTTGAGCAAGGTTTAAGTGAAAGTTAATTTTATTTTATTTATAATAAAAAAAACTTAAGTATTTAAACCAACCCTTTTGGGGTTCAGCTCAATTTTTTGGAGCTTATTTAAATTAAAATAAAAAAATAAACTTTTAAACTTGATCTTAAAATTTTTTTTATATTATTCAAACATAATCAATCAAGTTTAGCTTAAATTATTAACTTCCCTCTTTACAATTGCAATAGGAACGAGTATAATATAGTGTGCGAGTTGGCTCATATTTGTGGACGGGATAAATTAGAATGTATGAGATTTCACACACACATATAATATATTTATATAGTTATAGAGTATTACTATGCCTTTTTTAGAAAGTATTATACTATTTTTAAACGTTCTTGAATAATAATATTTAAAAAAATCAAATATAATATTCTCAAAAAAAATTCAGATTCAATATTCAATTCAGGTAAATAATAAATGTGCGAGCATGAGACGTCCAAGTTGATCTAGTCCGTAGAACTTTTGTTTGCATCATCTTCTTCAACCTTCACAGTTCACACACATCACACTCACTTTTCATTTTCACTGTCCTCTCAACATTTTCAGAACCAGAATCCCAACGAAATACAAAGTCTCTCGAAAATATTTCTCCAATTTCTCTTTATCTTTCCTTTTCCCTCAAAATTTCCCCTCCAAATTCATCACTCTCTTCTTCTTCTTCTTCTTCCAATGGTGTCTTCTCCTTTGCTTGTTACCTTCACTCTCTTCTTCAGTCTCCCTTTTTTCTTCTACTTCGCTCCACAAACCTTCCATCTTCCCCACTTCGCGTTCACCGTTTCCGACGACCTCGACGATCTCGTCCTCTTCACCAGAGCCACCCGCGCCGCCGCCCATTCCGCTTCCACCACCTCTCGCTTAGGCACCACGAATCCTAAACCTAAAATTGCTTTCCTCTTCCTCACCAACTCCAATCTCTCTTTCGCGCCCCTCTGGGAAAAATTCTTCCATGGAAATCGTAATCTCTTCAACATCTACATCCATTCAGACCCGTCCGTTTACATCGCTCCTCCCGGCGGCGTTTTCCGCGATCGATTTATCCCATCGAAGAAGACTTTCCGCGCGTCGCCGTCCCTTATCGCCGCCGCACGCCGCCTCCTGGCCGCCGCGCTTATTGACGACCCGATGAACCGGTACTTCGCTCTCGTGTCCCAGCATTGCATCCCGCTCCACTCTTTCCGTTTTATGTATCGCTCGCTCTTCGGCAACGAACTAACGATTCTCTCGAGTTTTACATTTTTTCAATCCAACTACAAGAGCTTCATCGAGATACTTTCTGATGAGCCTAATCTGTACGACCGATACGAGGCGCGTGGGGAGCACGCGATGCTACCGGAAGTGCCGTTTGAGGAGTTCCGGGTCGGGTCACAGTTCTTCGTGCTGAACCGTCGGCACGCGGTGACTGTGGTGAGGGATAGGAGGTTGTGGAGGAAGTTCAGGCTGCCGTGTGTGACCGAGGAGCCGTGCTACCCGGAGGAGCACTACTTTCCGACCCTTTTGTCCATGGAGGATCCGAATGGCTGTACCCGATTCACTCTTACGAGGGTGAACTGGACGGGATCCTGGGACGGCCACCCGCGCCTGTACACGGCGCCAGAGGTCTCGCCGGATCTGATTTTCCAATTGAGGCAGTCGAATTACTCGGGGTATGACTACATGTTTGCGAGGAAGTTCTCGCCGGAGAGTCTGGTGCCGTTGATGGATATCGCCGATGATGTCATTTTCCGGGATTGAAGTAATTATCCTCCTTCTGGATCAGGACAAACTGGTAAGTATCTATCTATCAATCTAACTTTTAACCAGTGCGCAGTGTATATTTTGGCATGCTCTTGCTTTTCTGAATACTGATATATAATTGATAATTAATTTGGACTTCACGAATATTAAAAACTTCTTAAAGTGATGCTGATTATATAAATCTTTGTTTGTTGGCCAAACTAAATAAATAACGTTTTTCGAGCAAATTGCATTGTTTTTTAATCAAATTATATCAAGTTTCAATAAAAAAATTATTAAGTTAGCATTTGGATAATTCATAAAAAGTCATCACATATGGTGATTACACATAACATGAGATATGTAATTGTCTTCACATTTTTGTTATCATCAACCTTATTATTTTTTATTCCAGTGGCTTTGTATATATTGCAAAAACAATATGGTGAAGCATGATAAATTATCACTTAACGTATTTATTTATACAAAAATAGTGTGACATTCTTGAATATGACGAGAACCAATTAGGTTTTTTTTTTGAAAAAATTGCATTTAAGGACTTGCATAGAAAATTATTTGTAAATAATGATCAACATAGATTAGATTGCTATTAAAATGAAAATGTGAATTTGTTTTTCTGGAATGATAATTTGTTACTGGTTCGAGTAACTTTCTTTGCATGTTTTTGGATGTGATGTATTTTACAAAGAAAAATTAATCATTTGATCATTTAAATTTTGACTCAATTATAATTTAATTTTTAAATTTTAACTCGTTGTAATTTAATTTTTATATTTTTGATTTGATTTTAATTCAATTTTTAAACTTTAATTTTTATAATTTAGTTCCTATAGTTTTAATCAATTAAAATATTGCTCCCTATATTTTAAAAAATAAAATTATAAAAAATTAAAATTATGCTAAAATTTAGGACTAATATTTTTAATTATTAAACTCTTTTAATCTTTATAAAAATTATAAAGATTAAAATTTTAAAATATTTTTAATATTTATAATTTTATTTTTTAAAATATTAGGATCAATACGGTTAAAATTATAGGAATTAAATTGTAAGAATTAAATTTTAAAAATTAAGTTATAATTAAGTTAAAATAATAAATGCTGAGTTATAACGTTCGAAAATTGAGTCAAAATTATGAAAACCAAATAACTAATTTTGTTTTTTTTTTCACCTAGAGAGAACCAATTAGGTGCACCTTGGATTCTGTGAGAATCATTCATATAAAGTAGAACAAACGTAGTGTGATTTGTTTTGATTAATTAAGAAGACATAACAAAACAAGGTATTGAATATTTCATTGCCGTAGCTGGTAACTGTGATGTGACCTAATTGACCTTTTTCTTGCTCTCTTTCTTTCTCTCCATTCTCCAAATTGGATGAGGAGGTTAATTGGGAATGCTTTTCTGGAAAATGGGTGGGTTCCACAATGCTCTTACGTTTTATTACTGATTTTATGCGTTCAAGGTTGAGAAGAGAGACACTGCCAAAAGAAACGTAAAGGGATAATAGATTGAAATGGAATCTAATTTTCATGCTTATCCTAAAAGAGGGGCAATGAGTGATGATCCATTATCTGATATTTGAGATTTGATATGTAATTGATTTGTTACTTTTTATTTTTTAAGAACGATTTGTCACTTTTAACTACACTCTCTGTTGCTTTTTATAAGATAAATTTACTAATAAAACAGTTTTAACTAATTTATGTCTGCAAAATTTTCTATCTTTCCACTTCTGTCTTCAATAATGCCCATTATTTTCTTAACTTAAGGTGGGTCAATTCTTTCTTTCCGCTGTATAAAAAATAAAAAAAAAAGAGGTGGGCCAATTCTTTTTTCTAAATAGTTTAGAGGCATTTTAGGGGAAAAAATAGTAATTACTTCTAAAGGTTTGTAAATTTAGGAATATCACACCATCCAAAATTTTGTCTTAGAAACGAAGGGAGTACATGCATAGGAAAGAAAATAATTGTGTTGACTAGATTACCTACTAGACTTGCCCGATTTATGACTAATTATAAATCCCCCCTAGGTTGTGGTGATATCTTGTTTGTTGATTTGTGTAATGAGCAATAGGTTCCTATTTAGTTACCCATCTTGTATAGATCTCGTCCATACTCAACTACGGTATTGGGTCTGAGGTTTCTACTGTGTCTCCCTCTAATATCTTTTGTAATGTCTCACCTTCTCAATTTTGTTTTTCAATTTTTAATCGTTGCCGTCTATATGAAATAGAAGACATCATGATGTCTTGAAGTTTCGAAACGTTAGAATTTTGCATTTTTTTAAATAATTTTTCAAAGAAAATTACCATAAATTGTGTGCTTTCGATATATATATATATAATTATAAAAGAGTACAAAATTCTACTGTTCCAAAACTTTAAAATATTGAGATTTTTTATTTTATTTTATGTATAAGCTAATGATCCAATAAAAAATAGAAAATAAAATTGGAAAGGTGGGGCATTAAAGGGTATCAGAGGAAGGCACATAAGAGGTTTTTGATTCTATGATAGGAGAGAGTTGAGAATTGAGATGGACATTTAGTGCATGTTTACTTCTTTTCTCCGTTGATGTAGCTCCAATAGACATTTGACCAGAAGTATCAATTTATTACCTCTCACACAATGAGGCTTCATGATTCATGCACCATCCTTTGAACGAACAGATCCTTAGGAATTTGAGAGTTAAGGATGAAAAAGATATAGGATATTGGATTCAATTAATTTAACGTTATTGGCCCTAAAATTTAACACAATAGTCAGTTTAGATAAGATTGTTGGAATTCGTTTTGAATGGATGATAAAAAAAATGGGTAGTCAATGTGGGTTAAACATCCCAAGCTCAAATTATATGTATGATGGCATTGGTTTTTTTTTTTTTTTCTTTTCCTTTTCAAATTTTGGTCAAGTTGTTGAATGATATATTAAAGAAGGCATTTTGAAACCTTTTAGATGTTATAATATGCAAATCTGAGTCAATCTGTCCAGGTGAACCAGTAAACCATTAAATTAATTTTTCAACTGGTTTGATCATGGTTTGATTATTGTTTTGATTATTAACCATTAAATCAGTGTCTTGAGTGGTTCAATAATTAGTCTGGTTTTCAGTCTCTTGCATTTAAGTTTAAAAATTGATTTAATAATAGTTAGGTTTCTAAAATATTTCTGAAAATTGAGTGAAAAATATTGATTTAGATAATTATAAACCAAGAGTTACATTTGCGTTTAAATACCTTATTTGCAATTAAGACCCCTAAATTTACAGCAGTTTGAATCAAAATTTGTGACTCGTTTTTATAAAATTTTATTGAGAACCTAAATGTTATTCTCTTATAATTTTAAACTTCGATACCACACGACTGGTTATCCTGCTCCTTGCTTTAATATAATGTTTTTTTTTTTAATCATCAATTCATTCTATTTCTTCATAAATCCCTAAACATGCCTTCCTTTGAAATGATGGCTATTTCATTCTTTTTGTATAGACATTTTTTCCTTTTAATTTCAGGGGATATTGAAAGATTAATGAATAATCTTCCCTTATTGTGTCTTATAACAATGAGGGAATCTCAGTCCTTTTGTTATTCTTATAAGAATTTCTGGGCATAATAAATAACACTGTTGAAGTAGCTCGGCTGAGGAATGCTATCTACCCACGTGACAATTATTGATATTTTCTCGAGCTCACGTGCTCTCTTCCCTAGACCATTTCGTATATTTTATATACCACTCATGTGAATTTCTTTTTTGCTTTCTTTATGTTTTTTTATTATTTATTTTCAGGGCATCTTTGTTGATAGTGGCATAAGTCATGTTGATGCACAGTGCCACTACAATGGGCAAAGCTTCATTTGGCGATATGTGAATAGAAAATTTGATTTATCTTTTTTTTTAATTACAAAAATAGTTGTGAGTGCAATATTTGGCTAGTAAGAAAGTGTCATGAAAATGTTGTACTTAGAAAATAGAGCTTTGTGGGGAGAGGTATGCAAGTTTGTAATAAGGTTAAGAGAAAAATGGATATTGTACAATGTTGCACGAATTCGAAAGGAAAAGGAATTCGTGTGGAAAGAAAAAATAGAAGCTAACGAAATTCCTTTGAGGGGATCTGTAGATCTTATGCTCTCCCCCCCCCCCCCCTTCTCTCCCTCCCTCTGCCGCGCTATTTGCTTGCTTAGGAATTGGATTTGATAAATAGTTTTAATCTACTTGTTAACTCCTCTAGTAAAAAATATGTAAAGCAGTTTTTTAAAAGTTGAATATTTAAAAATGTAAAGTGTTTTTAATCTTTTAAGGTGTAATTATTATTTTTTTTTAAGTGTATTTATTGATGAATGATTTTATATTTATCGTAAGGTGTTTAATAAGAGTAAATATAAAAATATGAAAGTAAATGATTATTTTATTGATGGTAATATTTGATTAAAAATGTTTTATATTTTTTTATTAAAGGGGTAGTATTTAGCACGTAGAAAAGTATTTTTTAAAAAGAAAATAGTAAATGTACTTAGTTTACTTTTTTAAAAAATATTTGTGTGTATGAAATATGTACTAGATGTGGGTATATTTTTTAATAAAAATTTAAGTTTTGAGTTATAAGAAACTAATTTCTTTTATTAGTTTCAACTTTCATATTTTATTTATTTTTTATTAGCTTTTTTTTGAATTTTTTGGTTGGGATTTTCCGAGTCCCCCTACCCACCCTATCTACTATTAAACCAAACGCTCTTTAATTTCTATCCTACCCCATAGCAGAAGCCGCCACGCACATCTCTGTTCTTCACTCAGCCTAACATTCATCATCATCTCCCACTCCGTTGTCACCATCATCATCTTTTGCTCTTCCACTCATCATAAAGCAAGGAAAGAGGTGAGCAAGGGGAAGCTAGTAGATGAAGTTTTTCTATTTCAATTCTAGATATTAGGGCATGTTTCGTGTAAGTGATGAGAATATAATAGATTAAAAAAATAAAAAAAATAAAATGAACTAAATATGAAGGAGAGATGTGTCAACCATATGTTCATGAGGGAGAAGAATAATTTAATTTATAAGACTAAGAATCATAATGTATGAGGTTTGTTATTCACTCATTTGTAATATATGGTAAAGTTTTATTATTTAACTATATAAAAAAGGTAATTTAATTAATTTTTGTTATGAATTTCTTTAATCCATTGCACCCTCATCATTTCCAACAACCAATCAACTCTTTAGTTTTTCTTAGCTTTTAGAAAATTTTAAGTTTGTTTTTTTTGCATATATTCAGTCTAGTTTTGGATTTTTTTTAGTTAAATAATAATTTAACCTCTAAACTATAAGTTCAAGAGCGCTTAGAACTTTAAACTTATTTTTGTGTCATGTTCTCTCAACTTTTAAAAACAATATAATATAGCCTTTACCATTAACAAAAGTTAAATATGACCTTTAATGGACAAAAAACAAAAAAGACAATGACGTCAAAATGTATAGAAAAGTCATTTTCTACAATTTTTTATGTCATTGTAATTTTCTTGGTCTTTTTTTTTGTCATTTTTGTTGGATAGGGAGACACAATGAAAGATTAAAATTTTAAAATCTCTATCTAGATATAAACCGAATGAACTCGTTTAAGTCAAAGTGGATAGAAGAGTTACATTTTAATTCTTCAAACTTGACACATGTTCTCTTTAAGAGTTTAGATCTCAGGAGTTGACAATGTAGATTTGCTTCCTCTACCAATATTCACACAAACAGCTCTTTAGCTCGAACAACGTGCTAGTGCTTTTAGTGTCTGTTCTTCTTTGAACGTTAATTTTCCTTTCTCTAGGATGTTTCATGGCTCTCAAAGTATTTTGGTTGTCAGAACTTTTCTAACTCTCTATCTCTTCATAAAGCACGTTCTTATCTATATATAGTATATAGATTAGGATTTTTGCCTTCCACTTAAAGAGCCCACAAAAATTTAATTAAATTTATCTTATAAATTTAATTTATGATATCATATCTAATTTAAATTTATCTTATAAATTTAAATTATAAAACTGACATGATATTCTCTCATATCATGTTAGTTATTAAATTTAATCTATCATATAAAATTAAATTTAAAACTAACACGATATAATATAATATAACATAATATAATATATATCACATATACATATTATATTATATATGTCTATATATATATATATATATAATTCATAAGCCCTATATTACATTCATTGAATCTAGATATATTTCAGATCCAATGAACTTGGACATTATGGCTCGAGTTGGATTGTTTTTGTGTGCGACCTTGTAAGCCCATATGAAGTTAGCAATAGGCTAATTATGCTATTAGCCTACAAGTTATAAGTGGCCTTTAACAAGACATTGCAACTACCCAATTCACATGAGAATTGATGATTTGATGTAACTTATCATATAATTGTATCACATTCCTTTTGTTACATGATATTTCGGTTAAGTGTGAGACATTGAATTATCATTCTCCTTTACCTGACCATTACTTTTTCGATCTCTAAGTAGACTGACTGTAGCAATGGAAAAATCATTTCTATTGTAGTATGGTCATAGATTTTCTCAGTCTTACTCATCGAGGGGCCTAGTAATATCTCTCACTTAATATAAGGGACAAATTTTATCTTGACCACTCATATTCCTCTACATAAATATCACTAAACTCAATCATAGCCTTTATGATTGCCTGGTCAAAGGTGTTTTTTGACTATGTTAAAGTTCGGTGGTCATCATATAGGAATCCATAATGATCTCAGGTTAAAAGACTTAGTGATATAATTACATATGACATAAGCTTATGACTTGTATCATGCAACTTTCTCATAGCGGGTCGGTCTAGTACCTTGTACTCTTTCAAGTGCCTATGACTTTAATTTGTATCTCTATAATTAATCAAAATTATATTAATCTTGTTTCATTTATAATCCCTCATAGATGAACGACCAGGGACATTTAGGATAATTATTATAATTTGTCCAAAAATACAGTTATCATAGTAAACATGCAATTGACATTATAACAAAAGAGAAATTCATTAAATAACAATATGCATAGTATAATGATTGACCCTAGAGCACAATTTTCAATAGTTTTATAGTTAATTAACCATTAAAATTAATTTTTGTTAACTACATGAGCTAAATTATATCGTTTTCAAAAGTTCAGAGGAACATTATACTAAAAACAAGTTTAGGATTTTAGACTCTTTTAAACCTATAATTTAGGAGCTAAATTGTCCTTTTAACCCCTTTTTGGGCCAAAGTTCTAAATTGAAATATTATGTATCTTGGATTGGAATTGGTTGAGCTAATTTGTATTTAATTTCTTTGACATGAATTAATCAAGTTAGCTGTGAGCATTTTATTGCATATTTAGGCTTGTTAGACCTCTTTTTTGAATAAAGGGAGAATTTCTTTCCTCACCAAATTAGAGCATGGGGTTTAAATAGATAGGCATGAGGCTAAGGGGGGGTTGATTTGTTAGGCCACTTAATTGTTCAATTAAGTAGGTTGGTTATCTAAACGTTCCATTAGGTAATCTTAATTGAAAATTTCAATATTCAATTGATTAAATTTGTGTAGGTTTTAATGAATTTAATTGGTTGAACCAATGATATTACTTGAATTAGCTATCAGTTGGAGTTCTCTAGTTGGGCCAAATCATGGGTTATAGGACTTCTAATTTTTTATATTTGGGTTAGGCAATTGAACTTGTGTTTTACCAAAAACGGAAAAAAAAAACTGAACTTGTTAGAACCAATTTTTATTTGTATTGTTGAAATTGATTGCCATTAACAAGTATTTATAAATTAATCTATAACAGAGTTCTTTAATTAACTTGAATTACACTTGAACATATGGTTCTGGAGTCCTTACTTTCCAATCAATCAATTATTCTACTTTAATTCACTACTCGTATGTTTTAACTAATTGAAGTTGAATTAGGAAAAACCAAACCCCCTGGCCAAACCTTGAGTTAGGCAGCCCGAATATAATGCTATTTTTAAGGCTTGTTTGCTTAAGATTTAAAAATAAATAATTTTTAATTGCTTAAATATTTGAAAAAAAGAAATTTATTTAATAGTAATTTTAAAAAAGTTGGAATTATTTTATATTTGGTTCCAATAATAAAAATTAATTATTATTTATTAATTTATAAATTTTTTAACATCTCCAAGAATCTCTATTCATAAAAAATAATTGTTTATATTTTAAATTTTTTAATATTTTCATATTTTATGACATTCTTTTCTATTTACCAATTATTTTTAAAAGCTACTCAAGGTAACTTCTCAAAATCATAAATATATTTTTTATATTTTGGTTATTTTCAAAATTCTAAATAAATATCATAAATTTTTATTTAAAAATAAGTGCTTTTTTATTTTTTAAAAAAAACTTAAACAAATGAGCTCTGAATTTCAAATTTAGTAATTAATTCAGCTTCACTTAGTTTAATATATTTGATTTCCAATTTTAGTTCTGTTGCAACAAACTCCCCAAGTTGCATTTCATATAGTTGATAGGTTATTTAGCAAATAAGTATGCCATAATGCCTTTGGAGTTTAGCATTTCTATTCATTTACATCATTAATCCCTTACCCCCTATTTGATTGGAGGGGAGAGGATGGAAAATTTAATGAAATTCTCTCCCCTCGTTTGGCAATGCTATAGTAGCCCTTCCTCTCCCCTCCAATGCAAATTGGGAGAATTGGGAGGAATTTCTCCCTCCCCCCTCCTTTTAACTAAACATAGTGTTGAAAAATTAGACTTAAAGAAACCCCTCATCGAGCTCCCTAAAAGTAATGGCCTAGGTCCACTCTATACTACGGAATTAATTTGATAGCCCGTGTGACTAAGGGCACATCACAGCCTTTGTGTTTTTATAAGAAGGGAGAAAACTAAGCGGTAATAATGTCCTGCCATAACACACTAACTAAATCAAGAGAAGGGGGTAAAAAAGAAAGATGAAGCCCAACAACATAAGATAAAGCTTGTTTAACGAGCATGTCAGGGGCTTCGTTAGTATCTCGCAAGATATTATGGACTACCACGATCTAGAAGAGTTTGAATCTTAGAGATCACATCCATATCTAGGCGAGTAAGATAAGCCTCTACCAGCAAGCAATCCCAAGACTTCAATCAAATTCCAGAATCAACTTCAAAGCCCCAGACCCTAAGCCATTTTGAGATTCAACATGCATGACTAGAGTTCAACAATCAATAGTTCACCACTGTTCATGTTAAACATGAAACCAGCTTTAAACTCGCTACTCGACTTCCTAACTATCCCACCATAACTTGCAAAGTTCTGGATTATAGAGAAAGCACCATCCACATTTAGTTTAAACCAATCATTAGTCAGTGGAAACCAAGTGCCACTATTTATGGGAGCCTCTTTTTGTCTCCACATCCTTGGTGTTTTTTCTTTCTTTCTTCTTTTTTTTTCCCGCCTCTGAAAGCACACCCCTAATTACAATGTTATATTACTAAAAACAAATAAAATAAAAACAGATGCCACATCAAATCAGACCTTTGAAATGAGTTTATGATAAAATAGCATTCATAGCATTATTCTGTTAGTCTAGTTCAAACTTTTGCAAGTCAAAGTGTTTTGTAACAAATTTAAGCACATTGTTGTTAGGCACATAGGCCACTGATCCTTGTAATACTTTTATAGCATTTACCTCCATTCAAGAATAATTAAACCTTCACTAGACATTTTGTCCAAAAAAAAAAAAATCTTCACTGGAATTTTTTTTTTTTCCTGCAGATGAACACCCAGAATATGACATTTGACTGTTTCTGGAAAAGAAGTCCTTGAATGTTAGTGTAATATAGAACAATAGTTGAACTCATTTCCACCATTCCCATCATCTATCTATAAAAATACTAGTCAGCAATTAAGCAGCTGTAATGGGCAACACCGTCTCTGAACTGCTTTAGAAGACAAAGCCTCAACCTTCTGCAAGAACTTCTGGTCAAAATTATTCACACTGCCTCCACAATAATCTACATGCCACGATACCTGCAAACAAGATTGCATTGAACAACTTATTGTTCTTACTGCTGGATTATATCTCTTCATCAGATATCATCCCTAACCAAGACAAATGATTTAGCGAAAAACAAGCCACAAGTTTTAACATTAGATCTTCTGCAATGACGAAATTCATGGTCCTTGACTTTTTCTTGGTTCTGAGAATTTTACGCAAGGACTTGTCGTCACATTAAACACTAATGGTTCATCTTTTTAAAAAATGAACATGGAAAAGAATTACCTGGGCATTAATGGGTCTGATTAATGGCACTGCACTGCTGAGTTCCCCTGGGAGCCAGGGGCAGGTTAAGCTCTGCCTCTAAATCAGGTTCTTTATCAAATTGGAGGCAGGAGGGAACTCAATCAACTTCAGCTTCATTTCCCACGTCCTCTTCTATCGAATCAAGCTCTGGTTGACAAATCACATAGTCAAGAAAATGGATGATTCAGGATACTGAATGGCTGACAACAGGAACTCACCGAAATGCAATAAGAAATATGGAATCCAGATTTTCCTTTAGGCCTGTTTTTGTAAGAAAATAAAACCTGTTAAGAATTTTTTTTTTTTGGGGACAAATTTCCCTAAAAAATAATTCCATAGCCTTTTTTTAAGGAAAAAATGACACTTAAAAGACTCATAACTATAATATACATAACAAAGGACCTCAAAATTCAAAATCCATCACAATGACAAAAAGAAGAAACTGTTGACACTTCCTAACGTTCCAACTTATGCTTCCAAGTTCCAACGTAATATTCCTTATGTTGATGTAACATTTTATTTATGGATAATAACAAATCTAAAACATCCTTGTAATATCAGCAAGACCAGGTTGTATAGGATGTGCCAGTGATAGCTAATTTATTTGGTTCTTGAGAGGGATTTTACAAATTTTTTCTTTCTTCTGTTTGGATTACAAGGAAAAAGGGGCGGGAAAAAAAAAATCAACGTTATCAGCCTAATGCCTTTAAGATTAGGAAGCAAAGTTTCCCAGAACATCTGCTGTTCCTCAATCAGTAGCAAAATCAGTCCTACCCACCCCTGAAGTCACAATTCTCTTCTCCGATAGCCTGTTCTTTTACAGACCGCTAGAAGACATGCTTATGTGGTTGAACCAAAACTGTTATAGTAATTTTATATAGCTAAAATTTGTAAATTTAAATTATACAGAGCTTGCTGCAATGGGATTAATAAATCAAGGGGTCTGTTATGACTTTTCTTAAATTAGGAAAAATATTGGGATGGGAAGTAAAGATCAAGGTGAGTTAAGCACAATTTTCCCTAGCATATGATTTATGCACATATTAGTTGTCTTATTTTTTATTTTTTATTTATCTTAGAACATATAATGGTTGCGTGACTAATGAGAATCATTGGGAGAACCACATCTCTAAAGCTAGCCACGAGGTTGGAGAGCCAAAGGTCTACATAAATCCCACATCAAAATCACATGCTTCCAATGAGGGACTAGTGTCTGATACCTTGCAAGTTAGATTTAACAGCCTGCACTTCATTGTTTATGTGAGCAATGCTACATGCCAAGGCTGCAAAAGCCCTTCTAGCAAAGGTGCACGATGTGGGATAAACAACTAGGAGATATTTACAAGGTTAAAAGCTTGGATATAAAAGAGCACAATAATGTCATTCAATCTATATAGCCAACCCCACCTAGTGGGACAAAGCTTGTTGCTACTGCTGCTACTGCTGCTAACATATACACAAGGTTGATCAACATAAATCAAAAACTGTATAATCATCAGAAGATAATTGCTAGAGCATCAAATTGCCCCTATGTCAAAAGCCTAAACAATTTCTTAGCTTACCTCCCATGAGATTCTCCTCACCAACATCACTGGGTACATTATAGACTCTAATGAATGATTCTTGGATTTTATTGCTTAAATCATCAGATCATCATCTCATCTCGTAAGTTCTACAAGTAGCACAAATAAACAATCAAGACAAATACTCTCAAGGTCCAAAGAACAGAAGCTGTAAGAATAGGCTAAAGAGTGCACCCATAAAGCCTTGTATCTTCACAGTTTTCATCACTCCCTTCAATTCCTAGTTGGCAGATTTCAAAGCTGACATCTGAAAAGAGAAATGGTACAAGATAAGAGAAATTAGTATTCTCAAAACCTAAAGACATCCTCAGAATTGGCACAAGAGAAATTCAAGGTATCTATAAATTACTTTTCTGTAAAGAGATCCCTTCCTAATGACATACAGTTCATGCCCTACCTCTCATGACTCATGAGGTAGGCAGCCGATTCCAAACAGTGCAGAGATAAAGCTCCGCCTTGAACCATGCCCCTTACAGCGCTATGAAGAGAAATGCATGTTATAAAGTGAATACCTAGTCAACTTAATATAGCATATGATTGGCATCTTCAAAATTTTACAACAAATAACACGCAAGTCTTTGTTATAATCAAGATAAAAACTAAAGCATAAGTCACAAAACAAGAACTATAAAATTTGAGAAGCGTTCACTTTTAATAGACAGAAGCTCAGCTACACCCAGATTTGAGAGAAAATTTGGACAGGTTGTGAAGCAGTGCCATGACCCATGAATGATTAAATTTATGCTGCAGATTTCCCTCCCTCCAAAACTTATTTTATCCAAAAATATGACAGTATTCAAAACTTTCTGATTTCATATATTTCTAATGTTTTAGACTTACTATCCACCTACACTCTATAGCAGTAACGCAGTATAACATATAAATACAGAGAAGGAAAAAGTTGAATATCAATTACAGAAAAAGATTTAAGCTCTTTGTATCATACAGTTTGTTGAGCAAGTTTAGCTTCCTCAGCAGCAAAGGTAACTTGGTCAAGATTCAATGTCTGATTATACAGCATGTCACGTTGCCCTTCATAACTGTTACGAAAGGCAATAGCCATATAAACACATAATCAGAAACAATTCACATTGCTAAGTGTACCCTAATAAATATTGAAAGGAAAGGCCTTGGGCTACTCTGAGTTACAAATGTCTAATAAAGAATGTACCCTTCAAGACATAAAAAAATATTAGAATAACATGAATACAGCAAAGTAAAATAAAATTACACAAACTGATGAAGTATACACAAAACATGCTAAGATTAGAAAAGACCCAACAAATTGTTACAACCTGCAGGAACTACAACAGATGGATATACTGTGAAATTACCCATCACATTTTATAATATAAGACGGGAAAAATTTAACATATGAAATATTATGTAAATTTACAGCTGTGATATATGATAAAACATCTGCTCCAAAATACTTGCACATAATTAAGAGCTGATAATAGCATTCTAATGTAAAACATCAGGGTAAAAATCATATCATAATCATATCATATAACATTCTATATGCAGATACAGTGATTTACAAAAATAGTCCAAGCTCCAAAAGCATTCACATGTTTTTGTCAATCAAAATCGAATCAAACTTTACAGTCAATTAATATACAGCCTATTTAGTAGAATCGCTTGATAGTTTTTGAGGAAATCATGTGCTTTTATAATAAAATGAGACTCTGATGAAACTTAGTAATCAAATTTAGCCAAGAATATTTCAAATAAAATAATTTGACACTGATCTAGTTTACCTTTTCTCCAGAAGTTTGTAAGGAATGTTAAGAAACAAGGAGAGGGCATCCTTATCATAGTTTAAAAAACCCAATGATATTGGTTAGTTGGACCCATGAACTAGTGAATTGGTCATGGTTTTGATCCAGCTAACCCAAAGAACCAATTTAGTAACGAACAACAACAACAACAACAACAACAAGCAGCTTTTATCCCATTAGGTGAGGTCGGCTACATGGATTGCAAGAGACCATTGTGCTCGATCATTTATCAAGCTTTTAGGAATATTATTAATTAAGAGATCGCGTTCAATAATTTTCAAGAATGTTCTTTTAGGCCTTCCTCTACCTCTCTTAATCGGACTCAAAGTTATATGTTCCACTCTTCTCACCGGTGCCTCCCTTGATCTTCTTTGTACATGCCCAAACCATCTCAACCGATTTTCTACCATTTTTTCCTCAATAAGTGCCACCCTCACTTTTTCGCGTATGTGCTCATTTCAAATTTTATCTTTACATGTATGTCCGCACATCCATCGTAACATTCTCATCTCTGTTACTCCAACTTTATGCTCTTGCTGTCCCGTTAGAGCCCAGCATTCACTACTATATAACATTGTCGGTTTGATAGCAGTGCGATAAAACTTTCCTTTAAGTTTATTAGACACCTTACGGTCGCAAATAACTCCTTTAGCTTTTCTCCAATTAAACCACCCAACTTGAATTTTATGTGAAATATCTCCACTGATTTCGCCATCATTTGAATAATGGCTCTCAAATATCTAAACTTTTCTACTTGAGGTATAATTTGATCTCCCAATTTCACTTCCAAATTATTGTCGAATAGTCCTTTATCAAATTTACAATATAAATATTCCGTCTTACTTCTACTCAGACGAAAACCTTTCAACTCCAATGTCCTCCTCTATAACTCAAGTTTGCAATTAACCTCTTCTCTTGTCTCTGCTATAAGAACTATATCATTCGCGAAGAGCATACATTTCGGAATTTCCCCTTGAATATGTTCCGTCAAAACATTTAAGATCAAGTTGAACAAATAAAGACTCAGAGATGATCCCTGATGTAGTCCAATCTTTATAGGAAAATCCTTTGTTTGACCACTAGGTGTTCTTATACTAGTTTTTACCCCCTCATACATATCTTGTATGGCTTTAATATAAGCAATCCGTACTCCCTTTTTTTCTAACGCTTTTCAAAGCACTTCTCTTGATATATGGTCATAAGTTTTTTCCAAATCAATAAAAACCATATGTAGATCTTTATCTTTACAACGATACTTTTCCATTAATCCCCTTAGTAGATAAATCGCCTCTATAGTTGATCTACCTAGCATAAAACTAAATTGATTCTCAGAAATACTTGTCTCCAATCTCAACCTGTGCTCAATTACTTTCTCCCACAATTTCATTGTGTGGCTCATGAGTTTAATCCCTCTATAGTTAGTACAATTCTGAATATCTCCTTTATTTTTATAAATAGGAATTAATGTACTTCTCCTCCACTCATCAGGCATTTTCTTGGACCGTAAAATCACATTAAATAACTTAGTTAACCATCTCACCCCTTCTTCACCTAAACATTTCCACGCTTCGATAGATATACAATCAGGTCCATTGGCTCTACCATTTGCCATTTTCTTAAAAGCTTCCTTTACTTTCTTATCACGTATTATTCGATAGAATGACAAATTTTGTTCTCCTTCACCAGTTACTAAATCGTCCAAGTTACTAGATGAACCCTCTCCATCATTGAAAAGTTTAGAAAAGTAAGTCTCCCATCTATTTTTAATTTCATCATCTATAACTAAAGTTCTTCCTTCTTCATCCTTAATACACCTTACCTGTTCTAGATCTCTTGATTTTCTTTCCCTACTCTTGGCAATCTTATAAATATTTCGCTCTCCTTCCTTCGTCTCAAGACTCTTATAAAATTCTTCAAAAGCTTTAGAACGAGCTTCACCCACAGCTCTCTTAATTTCCTTCTTAGCCATACGGTACCTCTCCCAATTTTCCTCATTGTTACACAAATGTATGGCTTTAAAACAGTTCTTCTTATACTTGATTTTGTCCTGTACACTATTATTCCACCACCAAGACTCCTTATCTCTCGGACCAGAACCTTTTGATTCTTCCAAAACTACTTTTACAACCTCCCGTATCTTTTTAGCCATATCTTCCCACATGATGTTAGCACTTCCCTGAGATTCCCAAATTTTTTTATCCAAAAGATTTCGCTTGACAATATCTTGCTTCTCACCTTTTAATTGCCACCACCTAATCCTTGGTGCTACTGCTTGTCGATGTTTTTGGATTTTACTTATAATACACACATCAAGGACTAGGACCCTATGTTGTGTCGTTACAGCATCTCCGGGGATCACCTTGTAATTTTTACAAAGTCTTCTATCTGTGTTCCTAACCAAAAGAAAATCAATCTGTGATCTTGAGGCTCTACTTTCGTAAGTGATGAGATGCTCATCTCTTTTCTTGAAACAAGTGTTGGCAATCTTTTATTCTTTGTCTGAATTAGACTTTCGAAACTCTATAATAGAGATTTGTGATATTTATTAGACTCTAACCAACTGATGTAGAACAGGGAAGGAGAAGGGGGAGAGGATATAGAAAAGAAAGAAAGAGATCAATAGACAAAATAGAGAGAAGAGAAAACTCAAAAGAGAGGCAAGATAATAGTAATTCTTGTTCAATCAAATGTGCGTACAAATCAAATGAGCTAGGGCACTATTTATAGGCCTCAACCTTAACATTAGAATTAAATGCGAGAAATTCATAAAATCTTAAAATTAAATGAAAAGATAATAATTCAAATATTACAACAATTAAAACAAAATATTTTAATCAATAAAATATCCTAATAAAATATCTTTGATCTTCCAATCTTATCAAATCTTCAATATCTTTAATTAATTCTTTTTATTTTTCTTCCCATTATTTCTCCTCCGCTTGAAGAACTCTCACTTAGAGAGTAAGATTGTGGATATGCTCTGGAAGTATGATTGGATCAAGAGATTTCAAGTTGCGTCTCTGTTTGGAAACCTTTCCAGCAAATCAGATACCAATAAATGACATTAAGTGAATAGTAAATAATTTGAACATGTAGAAGCACAACATGCAAATTTAGAAATCCTTTCCAACGAATAAGATAATATTGGAGGGGACCATATGGTTCACGAACAATATGTGCTTCCATATTTGTAATAACATCAACACTAGAGGGCATAGTAGACGAATTAGGTAGAGCAAGAGTCGGTTGAAATTGGATACTATCATCCATTGTCTCAAAATTCTCAACTACCATGTGCGAAATTTGCTTTCATAATTTCTCTTCTTCTTGATTAAGAGTTGCCTCTTGAGTCTCAACAATGCTTATATCTAGGGTAGGGGCAAAAGCTTCAATATGATTCGACCAAACTTCTTTAATTTCTATGTTGTCACATGCCTTAATCTCAAAATCCATAGTGATATTACTCTCTAACACCACTAATATAGGTACATGGTCTTGGTTACATATATTATCTCCTTCAGAAGTCAAAATATTAGGGTCCTTATGTTTTCAAATACTATCAAGAGAATTGGAAGGTATTTCCTTTTGATATAACTTCTATTTCTCAACTTAATAGCAATGCCCTTCTTTTAATGTGGATCAAATGGAGCTTTAGAGTTCATCAATTTTATCTCTCACAAGTTTAAGGCGTGAACATATGAAATCCAAGTCTGATTGATCAACCAAATCATACTGATAGTGACATTGATGATGATTGACATAATCATAGTAGTGATGGTCAACATAATCATATTGACAATGATAATTATATTAATGACGGTCAATATAATCATATTGGCAATTAAACGAGGCCATAACATCATGATTGAATGTGGTTTTTTTTTTTGGGTGATTGTAGGCAATGAAAGGTGAGATTTTTTTTTTTTAAATATCCTATTTGAGAAAAGGTTCCCAAGTTGCCCTCACCTAAAAGGTGAAGACCCTATTCAACAAGTCTGACCTCCAAGAACTCAAAAGTTCCATAGGGATCAAACATGTTAAATAAATAACAACTTGAGCAAAGTCTTCATAGTGACCTCCGGGGGTTTGGAAACCCCTCAAGGAAACCGATAGAAACTTCAACTAGCCGAGGGTAGATAACTATTTATAAGGTGGATTTTTTTAAGGGTTAAATCAAAGGAAAAATTGAATGAATGAATGAAGGAAAGGAAAAAATGGAATAAAT